TGGCTTCTGTCCTCAGTCCTACCTAACAGATATTTTCAGCCCCGAAGAGCTCCTTTCCCCCTGACCCAAAGTACAGGTCAGGAAGAGGCAAGTAGTGAGCAAATGAGGATGGTGAGGTGGGCAGCATACTGGCAAGGTCTTACCACTCCACCCTGCCACCTTGTATGGTGTCTGGCACCTAGCAGGTGCTCCCCAAGTGTTTGGAAGCCTCTCAGGACCCTGGCTGGTGGCTCAGGGCTATCCCATACTCCCGCCTTACGACACTGGCCCTGACAGGGGCATTCTCCAGCTACCAGAGCCACCAGGGAGCAGTTGAGAACATCCAGCAGTCTGGAGGCCAGGCTCTGCTTGCACCTCTTAACCAGGGTCAGAGACTCCTCAGCAGTCCAGCCTGGGACCTCCCTCGGATCCCAGGCACACAGGGGACCAGCGGGGATTCATGGTGAGGCAGCTCAATGTGGGATGGCTGCTGCCATGCCAGGTGCTGCCTGTGTCCCTGCCTGCCCTTGGGAGGCCACGAGAGGTGCCAGGGCTGAGAAGCATCACCGTCCCCTCTCCTCTGCCCACTCTGCCACCCAGCTCCCACAGAGCTCTCCCAGGCCTCCTCCTGACCCTTGGGCCCACTCTCAACCTTCCCAGAGTTGTCTCCACATTTCCTCTGGCAGCGCTGGACCCAGACAAGAGTATGCCCATTCTGCGGGCACTTCGGGTGAGCACGGCTGGTGCTCCTGTTAGGGGACAACCGGCAGGCTTGCTTATCTCTAAATAGCACGGATTGAGGAACAGGGTGAACGGGGGTCTTCTGTCTTGTTATGAGATAATAGATACTTGGGACAGCACCTGCATTTCATTTGTTCAGCCTGATGAAGGTTTACCTGGGTAGCCACCCCTTTAGTCAATACAGTATCTCTGTTCCTGGTGTCTCCCTCCCTCACCCCACTGACCTCAAGTCACCATTGCTCTGATTTCTGCACGTGGGTTACTGCTGCCCGCTGGAGATGGGAGGCTTCTCCTTGTTTAGTGAGGATCTGGGCCAGGGCTCACTGAGAAACGGAGAGAGGCTGAGCCGCCTTTTTGATGCAGCTCTAGAGGCCCCTCACTAATGGCTTTTCTCTGTGTCTATCTGGGACTGTCAGGTGGAGGGGGGCATGAATTAACCTCAGGCCTCTGCAGTGTTGACATGGGTTCACATGATCCCATGATGCCTCTTGCCACCTCCCCGCACACACCAGCCCTCTACCCTGACTGGAGGCAGAAGCCCAGGGGAAGGGTGGACAGGAAACAGGGAGTCACAGGCTCCCTGGGCCCTACCTTCCCTGTGGCTTCCACCCCGGTTGGTCGTTGAGCCGCTGAAAGTACAACTGCCATTGCTATTCAGAACCCCTTCCTGCCCCCTCTGCATGGCAGCTGGTGTGGGTGGGAAGGCCTGGTGGCTTTAGGGGGTACCTCCCAGGGTTAAAAGGAGCCCTGGTGGTGTAGTGGTTATATGTTGGGCTGCAAACCTCAAGGTCAGTGGTTCTAAACCACCAGCCCCTCTGCAGGAGGAAGAAGACAGGGCCTTCTACTCCTGTAAACAGTCAGCAGTCATGGAAACTCAGTTCTCCTCTGTCCTGTAGGACTGGATGGCAGTGAGTGTTTTGTGTGACTCTCTCACCCACATCGTGTCCAGAACTGAGCTGGCCTCTGTGTAGTCCAGACCAAGTCAGTGTCCCCTGCCCGCCTTCCTTTTTCTGACCATGATCCCCTCCCACAGCCATTGTAGAGAAGAGGGAAGGTCCCTTCCCCGACTGAGGGAGAGTGACCAGCAAAGCCTTGCCTGGTGTCCCTTGGTCACTGCCACACCCAAGGGATCACCAGGTCTGGTCTGTTCCTGGCTTGAGGCTCTTCCAACACTGGCCCCAGGGTAGGTGACCAACTCTTCCAGACCCCGCTTTTCTGCTGGGGCCACAGCTGCGGGTGGAGGCCTCAGGATGGCCCGGTTATGATCCCGGCCTGGGCGGCTCCCAACTCACAGGAAACCCCACCATTTCAACAAGAGGAATTTGGGCTGCGTCATCCCCGGCTTCCTGCCTAGGCAGTTGGAGATGGCTGGCAGGCAGACCCCTGACCCAGTGGGGTGTGGGGTGGGGGAGGGGAGCTCGCCATGCTTAGGGCAGCTCAGTGGTTGGGCACAGTGTTCCCGAGAGCACCCCCTTCTGGCAAAGATGAGGGTCCTGGAATCAGCCCCCCAGGGAGTCTAGGAGGGTCACCTCCCCACTTCAGCGCAGCCCATTAGGGGAGATTCTCCACCCCATCCCAGTAGCCCCTACTGGTCCCAAACCCTTCCTCAGCTTCATCTGGGATCACCTGTTCTCTCCGGTAGCCCGAGCCTTCATCCAGGGTGGGGGTGGGTGCCTGGCTGTGGGTGCAGCTCCAGCTGTGCTCCTGGCTCAAGAGTCTCCTCACTGCTCTCCCGGCAACTTTGGTGCAAGTCCTGTGGGGTAAAGGATCTGAGGACCATATTCCGGTGGGAGCCTCGACCTCCCCTGGGGGGGCATTACTTCTAGATTCCCTGAGTGGTCACAGTGTAGGGCAGAGAGCCAACTTCCCCCCACCCCCACCCCCCAAGGACAGGGCTTCCTGAGCTGGGGTGGGGGGCCTGGGGAACGCAGAGTGTCCTGGGAGACTGGCTCCCTGCCCCCACTCCCCAGCACACAATGACTGCTTTCTCCCGTGACCTTTCTGCAGCCAGAGTGCGATGCAGCTGTCTCCTCCCCACTCCCGGAGGGCTCGGGTTGGGTGGCATGTCCCCTGCCCCAAAGAAGAACCCTCGGGTCCCCACCCCTTCCTGGCCTCCCCTTCTTGTTTCAAAGTTCACTTCTCCTCAAGAGGGTGGAGGGTGGCTTTCTGGGCCACCCTTGTGGGGCTGCCCCGTCACTGGGGCAGGAGGACACCAAGAAGGGTGGACAAACCATGGTCCCTACCATTGAAGTGCCTAGTCCACAGCCCAGCAGCCCCACTCATTCGCTGTGTAACCCTAAGAAAGCCACACACCCTCTCTGAGCCTCATCTAGACAGGAGGGAGGGCATTTTCTTACCTTGCCTGGCAGTTGTCGAAGCATCATGGTGAGTGCACCCAGCTCGTGGTATGTGCCAAGTAAATGCTGGCCCTCCACTCCCTTCATCCTCCTGCAGGGGGACTTCCGCTCACCCTATCAGCGATGGAGGCAGGAGACCCAGGAGGGAGGGTTTCCTTGCATGCCAAGGACACAGGGCAGAAGCTTGGGAGGGAGTGACATGGGCCAGTGTTTCCCATTGAAGCTTTGGTGTGGGAGAGGTGTGGTCTGGGGCCAGCCTGGGTCACCAGGTGGAGTGCCCAGGTTGTCAGGGGTCTCTGACCTGCCCTCATGGAATCTGCCTCCCTGGGGAGAGGGTTGTGGGGCTAGCAAGACAAGGAGCCGTGGGCCCTGGGAACAACCTCCAGAGGGACAAGGATGTGTAGGAAAGGGCACAGCTCTGTCAGCCCCCTGCTGTGTGCCCCGGAGACCCCTACAGATTATGGACTTGCGCCCTGTGGGGCAGTTCTACTCTGTCCTCTGAAGTCACTGCAGATCAAGAAAACACCCCCTGGCCACTGGGCTTTGTTTGTTTGCTTGTTTATCCAACTGGGGCGGCACAAATGGTTTGCTCTCAATGACTAACTGTAACTGACAAACCCGCCGGGGAGTACTGTGGAGGAAAGGCCTGGCTTTCTGCATCTGCCGAGCCCAGGAAACCCGCTGGAGCCAGGTCCACTCCTCCACGCAGACATGCAGCCTGTATGCAGCACGGCTTGCTGGGTGGCGCCCGTTTAGCTTGGGGAGCCCGTGTGTAAGAGTCCTTGGGTGCTGAGATCAGGTGCAGGGCTCCGCCGCTCACAGAACAGTGGGAGGTTTGAGTCCAGCCTGAGACGCCTTAGCGGACAGGCGTCAGGCTCGGTTTCTGCAGCGTCGGCCATTGAAAACTCTGGAGGAAGGCTCCTGACCCAAAGGAGGGAAACGCGAAGCAGGGTTTCAGAGTCTCGGGGACTCCCAACACCTGGAGCCATGGGGGCTGGATGAAACTATTACCCTGAGACAGCCTTTCAAACCCCAGCCCAGAATATCCCCAGGAGTGTCTTCTTAAAACCAAACAGTCGCTTAGCTTAACTAGCTGTTTGGGGTTTTCTTGAAAAAGGAAAGCCTGCCTTGAGCAGTGTGCTCTTTTAAGAAGATCCGCTTGGGATCATGGTGACACCAGCCACAGGAAAGACTCGATAGGGACCTTAGGGAGCAGCAAGC